TGAAAGGAAGCGTGCTAAGCCTGGGATTATTCATTCCTTATAGGAAGCAATTACAAACCCTAGTCAGCCAGCTGTACAGAGGAAATAATGAATGAATAGAGACATAATTCGCCAACTAGTGTGGGCTGCATTTGGCAACCCTAGGCCCAATCTTCTTGTGCTTCTTAATAGTCTTGACATCACATATTGATTAGATAAGCAAGCTCAGCAATTGATTGAAAGAGACTACATGCATGACTGCTGGCATCTATATACTCCATTACAACCACCATTGTTGCCACAATGGCTCATCTTCTCGCCCAATAATCAAGGTGTGATGGATGGCCTGAATCTTAATATGGGCTTATTCTATTTGAGGCAGGTTATTTTAGTGGCTAGACATTTACAAAAAGTAAATACAAGTCATAATTAATTAACTCACATATAAGTCATAATTAATTAACTTACTTTACCATCGAGTCTCTCTCTCAATATAAGGGTATATAGAGGGACAGAAAGTCTGTTCCCTCCACTTCTTTCTTTTTAATATATTGGAAGGATTAGAAATCCTTAGTCTCTATCCACGCTCACCCCATTCTTACCAGTCTGAGGTGACTAGCCTTGATATTTATTAGAGGTTCTGTATCGATTATGATATTGCTATTCATTTATGGTTACCTAAATAGTCAAAGTTAACATTTATTAACAATTAAGGCAATATTGTACCGTTTCTAAATGTCGGAGAACATTATTGCACCACAAACAAATTCAAACTTATAATTTGGAGGCTATTTTGCCACTTTAACTCTTAATTAAAAATACTGACATTAAACTTTACTAGATGTCGACAAACCATTGTCAAATATTAATATATTAGGTTTAATTTTTTAAAATAATAATAATAATTGATACAAAAAATCATCATTTGAGACAAAACGGTATTAGTATAAGAGGATTAGAAGATACTTTATATAAATTAAGAAGATACGAGCTGCGGTGCTTTTGCCCATATACAAATTCATTTATTTCCAATACCATCGGTGCACCCGCAGGTTGCAATCCAAATAACAAAAGCTGTATTCGTTCACAAGGAAATAAAGCATGTACATGAACACTCAAAGAAGTAAAGCATCTTATACTATTTCAGTATTAAGGGAACGACAGTTGGTAGGTGTAATAGCCTTAAATATATATATATATATATATATACTTATTGAATTAACTATATGAATATATTTTAGTTATGTTTGGGATAATTATAACAATAAGGAGTATTGATAGAATGGAAATATGTATGCCAAACAACCTAAGGTTTTCGGTTCGAATCCTTGATGCAACAAAAGAGAATTTTATTTTTTTCAGCCTCTCCAAAATTACAAAATTACCCTTTTCTAAATATGATAAAAGCTTCCTTCTCTTCCTCGGCCATTCCAAAAAACAGAGAGAGAACGAGAGTTTGAGAATATGACTGACTTCCTATACCTCTAACCTTTCCTTGTTTCAGTGATCACGACTCATCCCCCTTGTTGCTCGTGGCGGTGGCTGGTGCAGTTGATGCTATAAGTTTTTTTAGTTTGTTTTCCTTATATTCTCTGTTTTCATCATTGTTCTCTGTCCTGTTTCTGGCTGTCTTCGTTGGATTCGGTCGCTGCTTAGTTTCTGTCACCTGTTTGGTTTGCTACTGGCGTAAGACTAAATCGTTGGAGCTGGACTCACGATCTTTTCCTTCCCAACTCAACCGTGAGCGTTTTGTTCTGTTTTACCGGTCTGTGCTCCCTGTTTCTGCATCCTCTTTGCTTGCTGTCTGTCCAGGCTGTTCTGTGCTGAGAGATCTTAAAGTGTCGAGTGCTGGAAGGCTATTACTATAAGCTTGTGTGGTGCAACTAAACCAGACTTCCTCCATCGTGTGGTGTAGTGCTAGTGATCAGTTTGTATCTCCCCTATTAAGTGTAAGTTTTACTTTTCTCTTCCTTATATGTACGTTGCTAGTTGCTGGAAGTAAGGAAGCTTCAGGATTTGCTTTCTCTTGATGAATATACGTATGATTTGATCATTGAAGTTGGAAAAAAAAATTTGGCTCCCCTGTTACTGTGGTTATGCGTGCGTGAAGAGGAAATAGAATTTTAATTTAAATAGAAATTACAAGTATAGAAGGAAGTAGATGATGTTATAGCCTAGAGTTTTATTTGGAGATAAGTGAATTATTAATATTGTAAGGGAAAGAATATTGTAGTTGTATATCCAAGGAAAGTGATTGAATTAGTGATAATACTTGGATCGATTTCAAATCATAAATTTAGCTTTAAATTTTAGATGAAAATGGTTAATTTGGAATTGTTTCTAAAGATTGGGAATCTATGAAATAATTTTTATCTTGATAGGGGGTGAGGAAGAACGAGACCCTGATCAGAATTAAAAGAAAGTATATCCTTAAGAATTTGAAGTTCTAATGAGTAAGTGAATAGCATTCCATTTAATTTAATTTTATTTTTATTTTTATTTTTATTTTTAATAGTCTTTTTCTTGAAATATTTTATTCTTATGAATTATATTAACTTTGAAAATTATGAAACATCAATGAAGGACAAACGAGTTATGATACGTGCATTTATTATTTTCAAAATTATATTTTCAAGATTGATGAAAGTATTTTTGTATGGTTGTTAAGCTTTGAAATGTATTGGCTATTTAATTATTGCAAGTTTGGTATATTAGCCATAAAAATATGATTTTTTGCAAATTTTGAGAATTGAAACACTTCATGCGAGTTTGGTATTGAGAATGGTAATTTTATTACAGCAGTACTTATTCTTCTCGCATGTTTGAAACGTGATTTTTAAGAGGACTCAAAATAGAACACTGCTGCCAACGGCAGTTCCGTTAGCCTGTAGCGCGCTGTGGTTAAATACTAGCTAGTTTGTTTCGTGAGTTTTATCCTCACGTTTGGTATTCGTGGGTTTTGTACCCACGTTTGGTTCCATGGCCTGAGCCGTGTTTGGTTACTTACCCTCATGGATTGTGTATTTATGTTTGTTTCGTAACTACGGCTATATTTGGTTATTTACCCTCGTGGACTGGTGTGTCCACATTTGTTTTCGTGGCATAAGTCGCGTTTGGTTATTTACCCTTATGGACTAAGTGTCCACGTTTGTTACTTGTTCTGTTAAGTCCTTAAAAATTTTTAAATTTTGATCAATTCATTCATTTGAAATTTCAATGGTTTCAATTATCAAGTGTACTAGTTTGATTTATGTGTGAGTAATTTAATTTCTTTAAGTATGATAGAATAAAGTGCTTCCAAATCCACTCTCATTTCATGGGTATGAATATGATTTATAGATTTTTAAAGTTATTATGTTGAATTATCCTCTTTTCAATTATTTTACATAATTATTTGAGTTTACTACATGAATTCTTTTAAATTCTATTTTGGGAATGCTATTCACTGAAAAATAATTTTGACCTCAGATTTGTTAGTTGACGTTGATCCTATGATCGACCTCTAAAGGGCAACTAGCCATAGTAGGTGGACCTTTTGATTGGTATTGTTGCTTTAATATAAATATATAATATGTATGTCTTTTTGATTTGAAAGAAAGAGTAAATGCTCCACATAGGTTGTTGATAAACTTTATTTTTTGGTTTGTATATTGATAGCTGGTTGGAAGGAGCTATGCTCCTAAATTATACTGTTATTTGTAAAAATTTTTGTTGTAGAATTTTTCGGAGATCCTAGTTACAGGGAAGATTCAGCCGAAATTTCTACAAAAACGTTAACACTTTCTTATGATAATGAATTTAAAGAAGTTATTTAAATTCTCACATGATTTGATTGAATTTTGCCTTTCTTAAAAAATGAAATAAATATTCACTTGAAGGCGTACGAGAATGTGAAAGTGGCTCACACCTGTGCCGGTCAACCTCTATTTTGGGGTGTGATAGTAGGCGATGGTCTGGCAATAGATGCTAATCTAGGAGGTATCTTGACTTGAACAGAATCTGACATGTGTGATACTGTATCAGATTCGGATTTATTATACTTCCTGCACCAGAAGAAGTGAATAGAAATGAGAAATTGAAATGCAAAAGGCAAGAGAACAGCGAGCAGGACAAAGCGAAATTTGACAATTCCACCTGGAGACATAGCAAAAATGGCTGAACCATAAGTGACAGCCATGGAGAGAGTAGCAGCACGGATCTCAAACTTGAAAGGGAACTTATGGGTGAGTGATAAAATGACCAAGATCGCATTAGAGAAAGAAAAAGTTTTGGATAGCAAAAACACGTAATATGGGATTTTTCGAGAAGCATTTATTGCTAAGCCTGCTTTTTTAGCGCTAGGACCTAATCCAGTACCTTGATTTTTTTTTTGCAGCAATAATCAAAGTGAAACTGTGAGAATGACGCATGCATGGTTCGAGGAAGCCAAAGCGATGGATAAAACAATCAAATATAACACTCTCTCATATTCTCTCTTGCTTGAAAGCTTTGCTGTTTCATCTGTGTACTTGCAGTGAATCAAGAATTGAGTTCTATTCTATATGTAATGACCCTAAATTTTAAGTTGAACAAAAATTTTCCCTAATGAATATTTTTATTTAAATCAGTTTCATAGAAATTAGAAAGGGGGCAGTTATAGGAAATTATGCTTGAAATTTTTGCAAGGATTTAAATCTAAATTTTTATAAGTAAAAGCTTGCTTTTAAATTATAAAAAAATTTCATGTCCTTTCTTGTAATTTTCTTGTCCCTTTCATTGTAATTGTCCCGTGCTCTTTTTTGTAATTTTCCCATGCTCCTTATGTTCTAATTTTGTTTCTTTTATGTGAAGAAAAATAGAGCATCTTTGATTCATTTTTCTCACTGCCTTCCTCTACTTCTCTAAATCCATAAAGTCGGTCCATTTCTCCAACCCTTACCAACACATTTAGCTCACTATTGACTGACCATTTTTGTGGCTGTCGTTGCTTCATATCACCTCATCTTCTCATCCTCATCTGCCAACCACTATACAATCAAGTTGCTGATTCTCTCCCATTATATTGTGCTTTTATGTGTCCATGAGAGGCTATCATTAGTTTGGTATCTTTACTGCCACCTTCCTCTTATCCTCGATCTTCGTTCATTAGTCAGAGTGGAGAGGTATATCTTCCTCATTTTCTTGCTCTATTTTGTGGTGAGCTTTTGTGTGTACAGGTGGTCAGTCTTTTTCTCTTTTTTTCCTTCCCTGTCATCAAAGTTCAGTGTGTGTATAGGTGGTAGCTCCTTCTTTTATTGTTGGCTGAAATCATAGTTTCTTCCTTTTTGTGTGTTGACAGATTTGAACCCTTATCTTATTCTTTGATGCTGTTTAGTGGCTGATTTATACTTGCTGCCATTGAGCTTTGTTGAGGTGAGATATTGTTTTCTTTCCTTCCTCTTTAGGCTATACTGCATTGCTGAATCATTTCCTTCTTTTTCCAACTGATTGACGTGGTCCCTGTTCTTTATTCTTGATATACTAATTATGGTTAGGACTGAAATGTTGCACTTGGGTTGGAAGTTTGGCCCTAGGATTAAATTTTTCTACCTTCTATATCTTGGATGCAGTGAATTGGAATTTCTCTACACTATTACTGCTACACGATTGAATAAAACGAGGATTTTTGGGTTTTCTTTTGTTATTCTTGAGTCATATATAAATAATGGATGATGTGGTTTGAATGTTAATGCCATATGGTGTTGAGAAAACAAGTAAAAGAGTCAGGTGGAGTAATTAAGTATATTCAATGTCTGCAAACTAATAATATGGATTTAGGAATTGTTTTTAAGAATTCTAATCTATTTTGATGAAGAAATGTGTTTAGGAAGCATATTAAAATTGTTTATATGTTTTGATTTTGGCTAGTAGATTTATAAAGTGGTGGATATTAAATTTAATATTAGGTTATGGTACTTCATTAACCTTACTAAGGCATAAGTGAATGGGAAGGTTTCTCTTATCTTTGTTGGATTAAGGTTAAGTTACCAATTTCATAAGGAAATAATAAATAATTGATTTTGGGATTTTTGATTTACTTGCTAGGAAATTGATGGCATGATTAAAATTAACGTGAGAAGTTGAAGTGAACGAGCTTTAAAATTTGAAAAACTCTTAAGTAAGTGGGTAGCGTTCTAAATAAATTTTTAGTAAAGTGTTTATAAAATCTCCCTATTTAGAATTTTACCATTAATCTTTTATAAATTGTACAAATATTCTCATTTATCCTATTTTCCTAATAATTGTTTTATTAATGAGAATGTGTTGATTTTATTGATAGTTTATATAGTTGACAAGTATTGATGAAAAGTAATAATTGAACAATATTTGAAAGTAGAAAAAGAAAATTTTAAAATTTTCTCTTGCTTCATACATGCTTAATTTTACTGAGGGAAATTAAGTTTAGAACGCTAGATGCTAAATACTAGCGCATCATGATTCACCTAACTAGCATGGTGTCTATAGGAGATGTTAGCCCCATGCAAAGGCCAATGCATATAGATCGGAGGGACGGTTATTTCCGAGTATTGTACTCACGCTTGTTTTCGTGGGCTTTATGACTGCGCTTGATTCATGGCTCCTACTACGCTTGTTACATGGCTTTCAACTACGCTTGATTGGTTACTTATCCTTGTAGATTGTGTGTCCATGCTTGATTAGTTATTTACCCTTGTGGCCTAAATGTCACGGTTATTATTTATTCTGATAAAGCTCTCCTAAATTGTGGTTGACATTTATCATTTTTTATTTATTTTTTGAAAGCATTTTATCAAATTGCACTATTATTAAATATTTTTATATTTTATGAGTAGTGGAAATTTTTTTTAGACATATATACATGACTTCACCATCATTGTCTAATTTCACAATCATCCTATCAAAAAAAAATTGTCATCTATCTCTAGTTAAGGATAATTCATTATTTCATTAAATCATTTGAAGTTAAATTTATTATTTATGATCCTTATATTTTTTTATTATAATTTTGATCAGAACGCTACTCATCGATAAATTTTTGGTCTCAGATAGTGTAGCTAACACTGTGCCTCTAGCTGACCATTAAAGTTCATTCTTGCTTTTTGGGGAAAAAGGAAGCATATGGTGTTTATTCTTTTTACCGAAATTTCATTCTGCATTTTGTAAATTATAAGTTAGTACTCTACGTACACTATGGTTTGGCATCAATCTCTTTTGTCATTATGTAAATTGCTAAAATGGAGCTACTTTTCTTGCTAGCTAAGCTAACAGGTTTTATTGTTGTTGTGAAAATTTTAGGAGGTTCAAATTATAGAGGAGACTTTGCAAAAATTTTCACAAAACATTTAGACTATGCTAACTTTATTATTAACATATATAACTTACATATACTAAAATTTTAGCTAAATCCTTGTTAATCAAGGGTTATGGAATGTGGGTTCACCTCATATTCCATGCCGATCATACCCTTAAGTATTGAGGTGTGACACTGTAACTTATTCCTACATTTGGCATATCATTTGACAACATAACAGGTATTCTTTCTGGAGATATGACCTCTAGAAGTTTTAGGTCTGACAGACCTGACGCGCTAAAGGAACTAGGTTAAGTTGACCCAGTTGGAGGTAGACAACGACAAAAATGATGCATCATTTCTGTCATCATTTAGTTAAAAAAAATTGCTTCTGGGCTAACGAGCCCAGAAGCCTTGAGACCTATAAAAAAACAAAAATAAATTTAGGCTCAAAAGCCCAACCTAAAAAATTTATTTTAGTTTTTGATTATTGGTCCATAGGTTAGGTACAGAAAACCCAACCCAAATCTAATAAATTTTTTTAAATAAATAAAATAATAATATATATATAATTCAAATTTGAAATATATATATATATATATTTGACATGTGGCACATTCCATCAGCATGTGATTGGTTGCACCTGCAAGCTGTCGATGCATGGAGTATAATGGACTAGCACGTGTCATTACAAGAGCAAGAGAAGGCAGCATGTCTAGTGCATGCACCTCCCCTGAGAGTGAAATATTCATTTTTTTTAATTTTTTTTAGAATTTCTCAATCCAAAAATGTTCTCGAGGCACGTGTGGGACCAAATTGGGACATAGTTTGCCTTAAAATATTTTTAAATTTAAGATCTTCATTTAGATATGCTATTTGCCTATTTGAGACAAAATAGGAATTTATTTTTGAATTATTCAGTGCATTTTAGAAGTTTAATCATTTAAAAAATTCCTAAAAAATATTTTTTTTATTTTGTTAGGAAAATATGAAGCAATAGGCTTTTGACAGCGCTGATAACTTACAACATTATTTTGTTAGCATTGAGTATCTGAATGAGCCAGATTATGAGGCTCTTAGTGAGGACTCTGACCTGAAACCCTTCAAAGAGGAAGAGGAGAAGTATGAACCTCAAAGTGAGGATTTTGATCCTAAAGAGGATCCCAATGTTGATCTTAAAGATGTACTAAAAGGACCTAAAGAGGTGCGCATGCTACTGGGACCAAAATATGAATCAGAGGGTGATGAGAATCTTCAAGATAAAGATGAAGATGTAGAACAACCTTTCACACCCTCAGTGATCATAAATATAGCAAAAAGAGAAGCTAAAAGAATTAAAAAGCTAGATCAAATTTCTTCGATAGTAAGAGCATATTCAAGCTTCATAACAAAAGAAGAACGAGCCCTAGTTGCAGGAGAAATTTTCAAACAATCCAGGAAAACACTTGTGCAACATAACAAGTGAAACAAGTCATACTGAGAAATTCTCTATGAAATAGAGCCATCAAGGGGATGAAAATACAAGAAAAATATAAAGACATAATTAAGAGTTGTCTTTTTAGGTCTGTACCTTAAGTATTTTTCTATTTTTCAAAATTTGTTTTTTGTTGAGTTATGTTGTATTGTTTCAAGACCTTCGTGGTTTATGATATATATATATATATATATGAAGTATGTTATAATTTTTTGATATTTTTTATTTCTTTATATATACTTTGTTTGAATGGGAGCTCTAAAGTGATATTTAAGAGCTATATATATATATATAATGATTATAGAAATATTTGTAAAATTCTTTATAGATGATAGTGATTTTGTTAGAATCAATGTGATGGGAGATGCAAACGTAGCCTCCTGATCATTGACCTAATAATGGTGTTATCACTCTAATAAAGAATAATACAAATATAAGATATTGTATGCCTCATAAGTATTTTATTCTTGGTTTAATATAGAAAACTATTAATGTAGAATAGTTTCGTCTCAAAATTAATAATTGCAAAAAAAAAACATTATTGCTAAATTAAATAAGGATGACAAGTTAAACAGGGATAACTAGGATACATGGCACTATAAGGTGTCATGTATTTTGAAAAAAAAGGTGATGTCGAGCCACTGATTTCGGTCATGGCTGAGCCTAAGGTATAAAACTTAGCTCAGTATAAGAGAGACCAAGAGGCATTTATGGCATGAAAATAAAAAAATAGCATTGCACGAATAACACTTCTAAGTGTTATGATAGATGATTTAATATGCAAATTTGAGAAGCACTCTACTGCCTAGGCCATGCAGGCTACCTTAAAAGTGAAGTTTGGTGGTACCTTAACTACCAAACTCAAAAGGCGTACAATTAAATTTGACACTTATAAGATAAAGCCAAATACTCTTATGCAGTAGCACCTAACGGAGATGGCTAATATGATTTGTGGACTTAAAGAAGCTAGGCACAATCTGTTTGATAAATAGCAAGTACAAGCTAAAATCAGATCACTCCCAACCAGTTGGGAGAATATAAAGGTTAACTTAACCCACAATGAAAACATCATTAACTTTAACGATATGACTAAGCACCTTGAGCTAGAGGGTAAACATTTGGAGTCTTACAAGTCATCTAGACAGGCTTACCTTGTTGAGAAAAGTTATCCTTCAAATGCTAAGCCCAAGAGGGGCAAGAAGCAACAAAAAAAGGGTAACAAGAGTGGCCTTAAGGTAAATAAAGACAAACAACCTTTCAAGAAGAAGGGAAAGAGGAGCAACAAAAAGAGAATTAACCTTAAAAAGGTTAAATGTTTTGCCTCTTAAAAAGATGGGCCATTTTGTAAAGGATTGTCCTGAGCAAAGTGGACGGGATCAGGTACTTGTGGATTATTTGAATTCACATATTTCTTATGTTTCTAATAATACTTTTCTTGCGGAAACTATTTCCTCTTCTTGGATTGTAGACTCAGGCTCCACAGACCATAAAAGCAATGATTGTGGATCTTTTGTAGAATACCATCAATTGCCAAATCATAGTAAGTGGCTTTATGTTGGCAATAACATGAGGATTAAGGTAAAAGCTATAGGAACTTGCAAGTTGATCTTGCGAGATGTTAAAACCTTA